TGAGATTCTCTTTTAGGAAATCCAACAAAAGACAGATCAAGTTATTATTACTGAAAGTTTAAAAACTAAGCAATAATACTAAATGTCCTGTCCCTGAGGACCATGTGAAGAGTGACATAATTAGCATGTGGCACCAAAGAGCCAAAAGAGGAGAGAGAAGTAGGGCTAGTAGACCAAGGACCCTGCTGGAAGGGGGACTAAACTGATCTTACATAATAACAGGGAGAGATTTCAGTGATACATTGAGAGGAAATTCAGCACATTCATAAGGAGGAGAAAGACACCAAATGTGACCAGACACACTCGTAAGCCTTGTGCCCACACCTGCCATCAACCGGATTTCCCAGAAGTAACCTTATGTTAGCATTTGCCAGAGCATGTTTCCCAGGACAGCAGTAGACATGCACTCCAGGGGGGGAAATGAAATTGAAAATTTTCTGATGATCTTTGAAATTTATTCCAACACTTTTCATAACTCAAAGCACATTTGTAAATTTCCCCCAAATGATTAGGTCATTAATCTTTTTCTTCCCCAAAGAATCTGAAAGAACTACTATTTGGGGAAGCATCCCTTTAAACCTTTTTGATACTGCTACTGGGGAGAAAAGGTTACCAACCCACTGCCAGCAACACGGTGGAAAGTACCAAACCAAAACAGCTGTTGGACCCTAGAGCTGTGCCTTCAGACATGAGGACATTTGTTAATGAGAAGCTGGGAGAGAGGGACAGGGATGCAGCCAGTTACTAGCATTAAGGTATAGGTGATCTTTTTTAAAAAGTAATAAATATTATTGTTTCTGTGTGACTCTGTGATAAACACTTTACAACAACTACTTAAAAAGTAACTTTCAGCAGCGCCTGTGGCTCAGTGGGTAGGGTGCCGGCCCCACATGCCGAGGGTGGCGGGTTGGAACCCAGCCCCAGCCAAACTGCAACAGAAAAAATAACCAGGCGTTGTGGCAGGTGCCTGTAGTCCCAGCTACTCGGGAGGCTGAGGCAAGAGAGTCGTCTAAGCCCAGGAGCTAGAGGTTGCTATGAGCTGTGACGCCACAGCACTCTATCGAGGGCAAGAAAGTGAGACTCTCTCTGTTAAAAAAAAAAAAGTAGACTTTCGACATGGCACTTGTAGCTCAAGCGGCTAAGGTGCCAGCCACATACACCCAGGCTGGCAAGTTCGAATTCAGCCCAGGCCTGCCAAACAATGACAACTACAACCAAAAAATAGCCAGGCATTGTGGCGGGTGCCTGTAGTCCCAGGTACTTGGGAGTCTGAGGCAAGAGAAT